CATGGAGCAGAAGAATTATTCAGTTTTACTTTAACTTATTAGTTTGTTTATACAGGTCAAAATCTCATTTCCAGGACAGACCTGCATCACTGCTGCTGTCTTATTCTGGGAGATCTCGTCATTATTAGACGCTGTAGAGCTGAGACACATGAATCTGTGAATGGGAACAGCACTGATCCTCATAGAGAGCACCTCTGTTTATCCTCATGTGCAGGATTTCCATTCGTCGGTGGCATTCGGAGCAGTGCTGAAGGCTGTGATTGGCTGGTTTCAGAGACGTTCATTAATCCTGCACAGTGCATGTTGTGTTGTGTACAGCAGTGTGCAAAGGTTGGAAGCACTACAACGTGCCACAGACCCTTTGAAAGTAATGGCAGGAGTACTTAGTTACCATAAAACGAGTAAAGACAGAAAAACAGGTTTTCAAGTAGCTCGTTTAGCATTGGTGAGAACTTTCCACAGTGTTTCTGTGGATTTAGGCTTCCTGAGTGTCGTCTGTTCATCCCACACTGGATCACTTTCTGTGCTGCAACTAAGCAAACTGGAGGAAAGAGGATGTTAACTGAAATCTCCCTCAGTGAGGGGGGGGGCTTAACACAAATGTGTAGAAACTGCCTGAGGGTGGAAACAGAGTTAAACTGTGGACTCTGAGTCTCTCAGTGCAAATCTTCAGAGCATCTGTGTGGAAAGAAACACAGAGCCGTGACTCGGACACGTTCCAGTCTGAAAGGGAAAAGCTTTTACAGAGCTTCATATTGACCCTTGATGCTGACACCTGTCCAGACTCTACATGACGTCTGTGGATAAATCACGCTGAGCCCTGTGGAGCGCCCTCCTCCACCTTTCTGTGAGCCTCCTCTTCCATCGAGGTTCTGTCTGCTTTGCTGGGAAAAGCTCCACGGCTTTGGATTTGTGGAAGGAATGTGACCTTTTTCCAAGTATGAATGTGAGCAGGCTTTGAAGTGTGAGTGGGGAAAGCTGCAGGCTGCGCTGCTCCCAGCAGAGGGACACTTCCACAGTGGGACAAAGACTCACTGTGAAGCTGTTTGTCACACGTCTGGACAAAGAATGCAGCAGCTGGTTGTGAGAACTCAGCGATCGTCGTCCTTTGGGGCAAAGCATTAAGGATTCAGGGAAAGTCTGCTTCATGATTTCACTTCTGTCCTTAATGGAAACCAGGACCTTTTGTATCTGCAGTTGCAGTCATGTGGCCGTGGATATGAAACCTTATTTCTTCTACAACTTTTCTGCAGTACCTGTACAAACATGTCGTTGGTCTATTTCCTGATTTCACCTCAGCTCAGCATCAGGCTGCTGGTTACACAGAGCTGCTGCTCTGGACTCCAACTGCAGGACATAAATGAAGAGAAGCGAGTTCCTCCACACTGGAACTGGAACAAACCTACGATGCATGATCGTTTAGATTCTTCAGGCTTTCTGGTGATTGAATGAACACCTCAGAGGCCGTTTCATGAAGCTGACATAAAATCTCATTTTACAAGGACAGGATGTTATCTCAGAAAAGCCCAGGATCTCCCCTCATTGTTAGCTTTGTTGATGCTTTCTGGAGAATCCTTCTGTGTTGTAGCGTTCCCGTGCACTCAGCAGAGGCTCTTTGGCATTTTCTTTTAAGCCTTCCCATCCCTAGAAGTCAGCGCTAATATTCAATTTTAAAGTAATGTGTACATTAACCATGAAGAGGCTGCCAGGAAAGCTTTCAGCCCACGTCCAGCACCCTGAGGCTGCAGGCTAAGAGGAAGGAAGGAGGCCGGGGAGAGCGTCAGCAGCACGGTCCAGGATGAGACGACGAACATCTGCGAGTACAT